GGGGAAGCAGTTGGCAGAGGTGCTGGAGGCAGAGAAGACGCCCAAGTACAAGGCCAACACCAAGATGCACCCATTGCTCCCGTGCAACCGAGCCTTGTCCCCTCTAGGGATGAGCCTAGAGTGTTTGGCCTTGACAAGTTCAACGGTGACAACTTTGCTGAGTGGTCCTTCAAGATGGAGAACATATTTGACCACTATGATCTGCTGGAGGTGATGGAAGGAACGGAGAAGCGCCCCGAGAACGACCCGGAGAAGAGCTCGTGGGTGCGGAAGAGCGCACAAGGCTATCTTCTACTCGGGCAGGCGTTGGGGAGCAGCCAAATCCGCCACATCAAGCCTTTTTAGCATGAACCAGCAAAGGGACCAAAGGCATGGGCTTCTCTTAAGGGTGTACACGCTCCTGCAACAGCGGCGGTGGCTGTGGTCTTGGAGCGGCAAATGGCAGCAGATAGAATTGACGAAGACGAACCGGTGGAGGAAGGAGTGCAGAAATTCTTCGACTTGTTGACACGGCTCGAAGGAGCTGAGCTGAACTACAGTGACCTTCAAAAGAAGACCAAGCTGCTGGCCTTACTTCCAGACTCATGGTCCTCGCTCATCATCAACCTAAATCGAGATCTGCCCCGCCTCTCGCTCGAAGATGTGAAGCGGGAAATCTTGCAAGAAGATATCCGCCGTCGTGAATTGGCGGGCCCCGATGGTGCCGGAGTTGCAAGCATGGGCCATGGACACGGCCATGGAAGGGGCAGAGGGCGAGGAGCTAGATTTGGAAGCAGCTAATTCAATGGAGGCCGTGGTAATGGAGGATATGGCAGCAACAACAACAACAATGGCTACGGACGTGGGCGCGGTCGATTTGATGGTGAATGCCACTTTTGCCACAAGACCGGCCACATGTGGAGAGATTGCTTCAAACTGCCTAATGTTTGGACCCCTTCTCAAGGCCAAGAGAGCAGAGGAGCAAGGGGAGGAAGAGGCAGAGGTCGTGGAGGCCGTGGTGGTCGTGGAAGCAAAGCGGCAAGCATGAAAGGTGGAGACTACGAGATGGGCACGAGTGAAGATCGATACCCGGGCCAATGCTTCTTTGTCTCCACACAAGCGGCAGCAGCAGCAGGAGCTGTGGAAGGCTTTGAGGAGCCAGCTACTGTGAGAAAGGTCACTCTTCACTCTCTGGAATTTTGGGTGATTGACAGCGGCGCCACCTATAGCATGACATCTCGTGCGGACTTGCTCACCGAGCTCGAACCGTCGCCGGTGAAGCATGTTACATCGGCTTTGGGGCAGCTAGCAGAGGTGAAAGGCATGGGCAAGGCCATGTTCAAGGGTGCTGATGGGAAGATGGTCGGCCTCGAACGTGCTTTGGGTGCCCAACGTAGCAGCCAACCTGATTTCCGTGCGGCGTTTGCAAAAGGCCGGCATGGACACATCTTCCAAGGGATCCAAAACCTATACCGCAAGGCTTGGAGAGCGGAAGCTTTGGGACCTTCATGAGGACAGGGACATCTACAATGAGATGTGGCAAATCCCAGTGGTCCCTATGCCTAAAGAGAGGCAAGTGGCAGCAAGTGTCATCACCAAGAGTGAAGCGGTTGGTGGCGGTGATCAAGGAAAGCAAAGTGACACCAAGTGTGACTCAAAGGAATGCTATCTTGGAGAGGACCAGTAAGGCGTGTGAACCCAAGGAGAGTGGTGCAGCAGCCAAAGGTGGTGGAAATGAGGAGGAGAAGCCTAAGATCAGCAAAGCAGCAGCGGCAAAGGAGAAAGGAGAGAGCTTGTGGGGCACAATTGCGATTGCCGCTTTCTCCAACCCGACTTCCGCTACGGGAGAGTGTGATTGGCTGACCTTGCATCGGCGAATGGGGCATGTGGCATTCCCCATTTCGCAGCAGATTTTTAAGCAAGAGATGGTCAGTGGGATACGTGTTAAGGGGGAGCCCAATGAGGTGCTTGGCTGTCCAACATGCATGCAAGCCAAGTTCACCCGCTACCCGTTCCATAGCTCGGAGACAACGGCTAAGGCACCACTTGATGAGGTGGTGATGGATGTGGTGGGCCCCTTGAAGCTTGGAGCTGCTGGAGCTGAGTACTTCCTCACAATTGTGGATGTCTACACTTACATGACTTGGGTGTATGTGCTGCCCAAAAAGAGTGATGTAGCTGAGGCGGTGAAGACCGATTGGTTGCCGATGGTGGAGCGGCAAAAAGACCGGCTTGTGAAGGCGATTCGCACTGACCGTGGGGGAGAGTTCCTGAGCAAGGATTTCTCAACTTGGCTAAAGAAGCAGGGCATAAGGCACTCTCTTACCATGCCCTACTCTCCTGCAATGAACGGCACCGCCGAGCGTGCGAATCGGACACTCACGGAGACGGCTCGGGGACTTCTCATTGAAGCCGGTCTTCCCAATTACTTTTGGCCGGATGCGGTGCGGCATGCTGGTGTGGCCAAGAACAGAGCCTTGAATCATGTGTGAGACGACAAATGGGTGCCCTATGTGGAGTGGATTGGAAGGAAGCTGAAGGTGGATATGCTTCGGGTGTTCGGGTGCATGTGCATGGCACTTGTGCCTAAGAAACTTCGGCACAACAAGCTTGATGCCAAGGCAACATGGGCCGTGCACCTGGGCATGGCTCAAAAAAGCAAGGGATGGATTCTTTGGGACCCATTTACCAAGAAGTTCTTGGTGAGCAGAGATTGCATGTTCATGGAGAACTTACCGTACAATGAGTCGAAGGCGGAGAACCAAGCGAAGATTGGTGTGCGGCTTGGAAAGGTGAAGAATACCGGCTTGGAGCATGTGGAGCTGCCCTTGGAGCTGAGTAGCAGCAGCACAATCACAAGGCAATCTCCTCAAATGAATGGGGGAGAAGAGGAGGAGGAGGTGCAGCAAGGTGATGAGCGTGCACCGTCACTTCCGCCTCGTGCTACAAGTGCTCGCGGAAACCGACTAGATTTGCAGCAATGCCATGAGAGCATCCAGGTCCCTGCAGCAGAGGAGGAAGGAAGGGGGAGAAGGAAGACTCAGCCCCCCAATAGGTTGAGCTATGAACGGCTTGGAGGACCAGCCAACTCAACCTTGACCGGTTCGGCTCTCATGCTAGGCGATGATGTGGAAGATCAAAGCGAGGAGTGCGCTTTTGCCTTCTTGTCTCCGGTGGAGATGCCGGGGGAGCCTACAAATCCCAAGGAGGCTTAGGAGGGCCCCAATGGGAAGGAGTTGAAGAAGGTCTCAGATGAAGAAATGGGGAGCATCATAGAGAACGACACATTTGACTTGGTGAATCTACCTCTGGGGCGGAAGGCGATCTCTTCCAAGTGGATCTTCAAGCGCAAGACCGACGCCGATGGCAACATCGAGCGATACAAGAGCAGACTTGTAGCCAAGGGATAACAGCAGTAGGAGAAGGAGGACTACAATGAAGTATATGCCCCTGTGGTTAAGGGTACAACCCTTCGAACTCTCTTCGCCGCGGCGGCCATCAAAAGATGGGTGGTTAAGCAAATGGATATTGTAACAGCCTTCCTCAACAGAGTTTTGGAGGAAGAGACTTACATGGAGCAGCCAGAGGGGTACAATGATGGGAGTGGCAGAGTGTGGAAGCTGAAGAAAGCACTCTATGGCCTCAAGCAAGCCCCTAGGCAATGGTACATCAAGCTGCGGGAAGTCTTGGAGGCGATCGTCTTCACTCCCTCAACGGCTGATCGATCCTTGTTCATGCTTGGCGAGGGGGAGCAGAGGAGCTTCATGGTGGTTTATGTGGATGACATCCTCATATTCTCACCCTCCTCTGACCTTGTGAAGGAGGTGATGCTGAAGCTTCAAGACAAGTTCAAGTGCAAGACCCTTGGTGACGTCAACTACTACCTTGGGCTTCACATTGAGCGAGATGTGGATTCGCGGTGGATGCGAGTGCATCAAAAGAAGTACTTGGAGGCATTGGCTGCAAGTTTTGGGAAGAGTGAAGGTCATGTGGCTACTCCTCTTCCCTCAGGGTTCAAGTGTGTGAAAGGACCAGTGGAGGAAAGTGTTGGTGAAGAGGAGAGGCGGCGTTTTCACTCCTTAGTGGGCAGCCTCATGTATGCGGCCGTTCACACAAGGCCGGATGCAGCCTTTGCTACCGGGCAGCTGGCTGGGGCTGTCCAATGCCCTAATGAAGAACAGGTAGCAGCTCGAGAGAGGGTAGCCAAGTACCTTGGCCAAACAGCAACTGTTGGACTGCAATACTCCGCGGTGGCACAAAGGCGTCAAAAGGGTGCGGATGGAGTCGAACCCGGGAGGCTCTTTCTCACCGCCTTGTCTGATGCATCTTGGGCATCAGAACCAGAGGACATGACAAGTGTGGGAGGCTTCATCTGCTGTGTTGGTGGAGGACCAACAGCTTGGGAGAGCAAGAAACAAGTGGACCAAGCATTGAGCTCGGTGGAGTCCGAGTACATGGCACTCTTCCGTGCCATAAGAGAGGTTGTGTGGCAGCGGCGTTTGCTAGCTGAATTGGGGGAGGAGCAGCAAGGACCTACCCCACTCTACTGTGATAGCCAGGGTGCTATTGCACTGGCTCAAAACCCCGTTCTTCATGGCCTTACCAATCACATGAAGGTGAAGTGGCATTGGGTGAGGAGCATGGTAACCGCGGGTGAATTGGAGTTGCACTACGTGAAGAGGATGGCGCAGCCTGCTCATATGTGTTAGAATTAAGGACGGAGTCTAGGTGAACTTAGGAGCTAGAATTACTCAAAATATAAATCCGAAATTCTGGACAGAAAAGTCGTCTTCACAAGAAACGACGTCGACGAAAACCTTGCCTTTGGAATATCGCGAAACTTGAATATGTTATAGATCTTAATCTCAGCTGCCGTTACCAATTCGAATCACGTTGATTCATGAAGTATTCGCGACGCTATGGCTTTCGACGCATTAGGGGGTAAGCTGTAGGAGAACTTAACTCAATCTCAAAAGTTCAATCAAAGTTCAAGAATCTCACAAGGAATTAGAGGAGCAAGAGAAAGGTTGGGATAGAAAGAGAGGGATGAGAAGGAAGGTCCCAAGAGAGTCCCCAACCAAGGAAACCCCATAAGCACAAAGATTCCCCCCCTATAGGAACCCCAACTTTGACATTTGTCCCTTCCCAACCAATCCATCCAAGTTGGCCACCCTTGTCAACCTAGCTTGGTTGTTCCCAACCAATTTGCAGCTGTTACAGTAGAGTGACAAATTTCCCCAACCCCAAAGGTCCCAACTCCATATAGAGTCACCCCACAACTTCACTTTGTAACCGCCGCAATTGTAACGCAAGCTCATGAACTTTGAATCTTCATAGCTTTCGCGTTCTTGCTCCGATTGAAGCGATTCTTGTAGCGTCGGAAAGATCTTCTCAAGATCTATCATCACAAATACCTGCTCAAACAAAAATAACACAAAACACATTCCCAAACTCCAGAACACACCACACACAAATTCTTGCACATGTTCAAACCACACATGCAAGTTGAAAACATGGGATGGGAGGCAGACAGAATGTGATAGCATATGATGACATCACACAACAATCTCCCCCTCTGGCTGCCAACCATCATCCACCATACCAACATCTCAAGCATGCATACTCAATGCACACTCATCCCAGCAAGCTTCATGCCCTTCCAATGATCCGCCTCCGCAAGACGCTTAGTGAAAATATCTGCTGCTTGCTGATGGGTCTTCACTATCTCCAGCTGCACCTCCTTATCAAGGAGTCTCCTCACCCAATGCCACTTAGGCCTTATGTGTTTAGTCAGCCCATGCAGATAAGCATTCTTGGCGAGCTTCACAGCAGACTCATTGTCACAAAACACAACTGTCGGCTCCTCCTGACCAACTCCCAACTCCTCCAACAAACGCCTCAGGCACACCACTTCCTTGACCCCATGGTGTAAGGCCATGTACTCTGTCTCACATGAGGACAATCCCACCTCATTCTGCTTCTTGCTGCGCCAGCTCTCAGCACCACCTCCTAGCAAGCACACATAACCCCCAATGCTGGTGCCATCCGCTTTCACTAAGTTGAAGCTAGCGTCAGTATAGCAACTCAAGAGCATCTCTCCACTCTTCACATCTGCAGCACCTCTCTGCAACTGCTGCCTCACTCCACTGTACTCCAATCCCACTGAGGTCGTAGCGCTCACATAGCGGACCAACCTCTTGGCCGCTTCCAACTGCTCATGACTAGGGCGTGAGACCACACTAGCCAACCGTGATGTAGCAAATGCAATGTCAGGCCGTGTATGATTTGCAGCATAATTCAGCGACCCAACCATCGAATGAAACAGCTTCCTGTCACTCTCACCCACTACCTCCTCATCAGCACATGGCTCCACAGTGAACCCCGAAGGTAGTGGTGTTGCTGGCTTTCCCCCATCTTGCAGCCCATACTTCTCAGCCAGCCCCTCACAGTACTTCCTCTGGTGCAACCTCAGCACACCCTTCCCCACATCTCTCTCCACATGCATCCCCAAGTAGTACTTCACCTCACCCATCTTGGAACACTTGAACTGCATCTCCAGCATCTGCTCTGCGCTGTCCAGCAAAGCAGTTGATGCAGAAAAGAGAAGGATATCATCCACGTACACCAAGAGCATGAGGATTTCATCCTTCTCCTGCAGCAGAAATAGGCTGGGGTCACACTCACTCTTCTTGAAACCCCCAGCCAACAGCGCCTCCTCCAACTTGTGATACCATGCACGAGGCGCCTTCTTAAGGCCATAGATGGCCTTCTTCAGCCTGCAGACCCTGCTGCTCCCATCATCCAGCTCCTCTGGCTGCTTCATGTACACCTCCTCCAGAATGATCCCATTCAGAAAGGCAGTCACAATGTCCATCTGCCGTATCTTCCATCCCAGGAGTGCAGCTATCGCCAACAGCACCCTCAGTGTTGTTCCTTTCCCCACAGGAGCAAACACCTCATCATAGTCCTTCCCCTTTGTCTGCTGAAACCCCCGTGCCACAAGCCTAGACTTGTAGCGGGTCAGCTCCCCTTCAGGTCCATACTTGTGCCTGTAGATCATCTTGGAAGTGATTGCCTTCTTCCCATGAGGCAAGTCACACAGGTCCCATGTCTCGTTCTCAATCAGGGACCCGAACTCCTCATCCTCACTCGCCTTCCACTTCTCCCCATTTGGTCCATTCAAGGCCTCTTCTTGAGTCTTGGGCTCAGGGATTGGTGCCCAGTAGCAGTGAGCGATCTCATCTTCCTCAATCTGCTCAACCACACTCCCAGCCTGCACCACATTCGGCTTGCCTCTTCCCCCATAGGTCAGCCTCACCGGAGGGCGCACATCCCTCCTAGGTCGCTCAGGTGGGTGTGGAACTCGAGGTGGAGACTCATGCTGCTGCTGCTGCTGCTCCACCTCAGCTGCTCCCCCTTCCTCAATCACCCCAGACATCTCCCCCTCAGGCACTGCAACCTCCACCTGTCTTGAAGGCCGCTGCACCTCATCTACCTCCACAATGAGCGGTGTAGATGGAAGCTTCTGTTGCTGCTGCTTCCATTCCTTGTAGTACAGGGACTCAAGAAACTTCACATCCCTTGACACTGTCAGCTTCTGGGTGGTCAAGTCCCATAGCAGCCATCCCTTGTGATCCTTTGCAATCCCCAAGTGCACACCCCATCTTCCAGAAGCCTCCAACTTCCCCCTTTTCTCCTTGGGCACATGAAACACCACCATGCACCCAAATGCCCTCAGCATGTTCACAGCTGGAGCACTCCCATACCACTTGGTATATGGGATCCACTCCTTATCCCCAACTGTAGCCAGCACCCTGTTCTTCACAAGGGCGACCTGCCTCAGTGCAGACACCCAAAACGGATCAGGCAGCCCTGCACGCCCAAGGAGAGTGCGTGCCCCCTCCTGCAGGGTCCTGTTGAACCTCTCAGCCACGCCATTCTGCTGCGGGTTGTAGGGCACTGTCAGTTGATGCTGGATCCCCTTCCTCTTCAACTCCCCCTCAAAATCAGCTCCAATGAACTCCCCACCATTGTCACTGCGGATCACCTTCACCTTGTGTCCACATTCCCTCTGAGCTCTAGGCATCCACTCCTTAAGGACAGCCACTGCCACCTCTCCCTTGCTCTTCAAAGGGTAAACCCACACTGCCCGAGTGTGGTCATCCACAATTGTCAAGAAAAATAGCGGCTACCTGATAGGGAAGCGGCTCTTGTGGGCCCCACCACATCGATGTGCACAAGTGCAAGTGGGATCTTGGCTGGTCCTGTAGTGCTGTTGAAGGGGAACTTAGAGAACTTGGTCTCCAAGCATGTAGGGCAGCTCCCAATCTCCTTCACTCCCCCCTTCATCTCCAATCTTTTCAGGCTCCCATTCTTCACCAACTTCTGCAGCATAGGAAAGTTCACGTGACATAGCCTCTCATGCCATGTCTCCCAATCGGCCTCACCACTCCTTGATGAAGCCTTAGCCCATGCCGCACTCGCATCCACACCAGCAAGCACCTCACCATGTGTCTGCTGCTCTTGCTTGAATGCTTCCAGGACCTCATCAGTTGGTGCAGTTGCATCTCCTCCTGCTGTTGCCTTTGCAGCTGCTGCCGTTGCTGCTGTTGGAGTCTTCCCATTCCAAGGGATGATGGGCAGCTGCCACAGGTCCTTGATGCAGCTGGTCTCCTCTTCCAGACTCCACAGCACCTTCTTCCCAAGCTTAGCACGGCAGCTGGTTGGTCCAAAGGTCACTTCGGTCTTGCTCTTCTGCAGTCGTCGCACAGAGAGAAGGTTAGCAGACAAGCCTTCAACTAGCAGAACATTCCCAAGCCCCACAAGCTCCCCATTAGCTCCCTTAACCTTGGCATTCCCAACACCAATGACAGGGAGCAAAGCACCTGACGCTGCTGCCACATACTTAATCTTCCCAGGGGGTTTTACCTCATCAAGCAAATCTGCCCGTGGGGTCATGTGACTGGTGCAACCCGAATCAATCACCCAGTGCGTGAGAGGGTGCATCACAACCTTTCCCACAGATCCCACATCACCCTCATGCCCATGCACATCCTCAACCATGAGAAACATCCCAGGGTAGGCATTACCTTGTGCACCTTCACCTTGTGCACCTGAGCCTTGCACAGCGCCACCTTGTGCGCGTTCACCACTGGGCGGCTTCATGCCTGGAGGTGCCCATCCCTCCGGCCTGCTGAAGCACTTTAACCAAGGATGCCCGACCTTCTTGCAGTACCAGCAGGTGCCCTCCATTCTGGTACTCCCCCTGCCACTGGAGCTCCCATGCCCCTCATTATAGTCACCTCGGCCTCTACCTCTGCCAAAGCTCCTCCCACGGCCTCGGCCTCTCCAACCCCCTCTTCCTCTGCTGCGCCCTGCAGCTCCATACCCCTCAGCAGTCTTAGTAGACGCACCACCTCCCACATGGCGTCTGCGGAAGTCCTCCTGCAGAATCTGCTGTCTGAGCCACTCAGGTGTCCATTGATCCTGCTGAGAGTTAAGGGTGGGGATGAGGTTGTCCCAAGAGTTGTCCAACACCGAGATGATCTTGGTGCACTGCTGCAGCTGAGATACACTGCTGACCGCTGCTGCCATCCTTGCATAGGTGTCCTTGATCTTGTCAAGGACCGGCTTCACATTGTCCCCTGGTCGCATGGAGATGGCAGCAAGTTCCTTCTCGAGCACGACTACCATCGGGAGAGTGTTGGGCTGAATCACATCGCGTAGTAGTTTCCACGCCCTTGGACCCGAATCATCCGCTTCCACAAGATCCTTGATGTACTCGAACATCTCCTTGTTGACCGATTGAAGGATGAGGTCGAAAAGCACCGCGTTTTTCTCAATCCACCGTTCACGTGCTTCGTCTTCTTCCGGCAACTTCTCCTCCCCAACAGCAATCTTCAGTGGCTTGTAGCATTTGAAGGCACTCCTCATCCGTCCACTCCATTCCTCATAGTTGCAGCCATCCAAAGCTTCAACTTTTGATGGCGGCGGCTCACTTGTCTTCTCAGCTACAGCTCCTCTTCCATTAGCATCTCCTCCTCTCTCATTCATCTTCTCATTGAGAAATGACGAATTTCAGCTCCCCTTTGCTGTCCACACTCAGCTCCCTCGATATTTTCACAAGTATCGGCGTCCACGAAATTTCGGCAGAGTTTCCCCTTAGCGGAAGACACATCCAACCTTTAGAACACCACTTAGGCACACCCACAGGCCATGGTGGGTCTAGAAGGGTCTTCACACTTCTGTAGACTCCTCTCAATGTCCTTAATATCGCTCTGATACCACTTGTTAGAATTAAGGACGGAGTCTAGGTGAACTTAGGAGCTAGAATTACTCAAAATATAAATCCGAAATTCTGGACAGAAAAGTCGTCTTCACAAGAAACGACGTCGACGAAAACCTTGCCTTTGGAATGTCGCGAAACTTGGATATGTTGTAGATCTTAATCTCAGCTGCCGTTACCAATTCGAATCACGTTGATTGATGAAGTATTCGCGACGCTATGGCTTTCGACGCATTAGGGGGTAAGCTGTAGGAGAACTTAACTCAATCTCAAAAGTTCAATCAAAGTTCAAGAATCTCACAAGGAATTAGAGGAGCAAGAGAAAGGTTGGGATAGAAAGAGAGGGATGAGAAGGAAGGTCCCAAGAGAGTCCCCAACCAAGGAAACCCCATAAGCACAAAGATTCCCCCTCTATAGGAACCCCAACTTTGACATTTGTCCCTTCCCAACCAATCCATCCAAGTTGGCCACCCTTGCCAACCTAGCTTGGTTGTTCCCAACCAATTTGCAGCTGTTACAGTAGAGTGACAAATTTCCCCAACCCCAAAGGTCCCAACTCCATATAGAGTCACCCCACAACTTCACTTTGTAACCGTCGCAATTGTAACGCAAGCTCATGAACTTTGAATCTTCATAGCTTTCGCGTTCTTGCTCCGATTGAAGCGATTCTTGTAGCGTCGGAAAGATCTTCTCAAGATCTATCATCAAAAATACCTGCTCAAACAAAAATAACACAAAACACATTCCCAAACTCCAGAACACACCACACACAAATTCTTGCACATGTTCAAACCACACATGCAAGTTGAAAACATGGGATGGGAGGCAGACAGAGTGTGATAGCATATGATGACATCACACAACAATATGATGACCAAGAGGCTGGTTGAGCAGTAGCATTGGAAGTGTTGCAAGCTTGCTGGGATGGCTCTGAACTAAGGGGAGCAGATTCTAAGGCCAACAATCCGAGGGGGAGTTTGTTGGTGCAACCCTATGGCTTGCACTTGGCTTGTCGTCCTTGTTTGTGTGTGTGCATGCATGGCATGGAATGACTTGTGAGTCATGTCATTGCTATCTAGTGCTTGTGTATGTGTTTGAATGGTGTATCACAATGTGGTTTGTGTTGGTCAAGACATTAGCGAGTTTTCACAACTCGCATATCAAGTCGTCGTTTGCGCGTCGCATGTGCTTTCTCTATTTTGTCGATTGTGAAGTGTCCATCTCATAGCAGGTGTGTGCAGCAAGCCCGCATCATCTCAAGAAGATTTGATCTTGCTGAACCAAGACCAAGAGCTCAAGATTTCAAGCCCAAGGGACATGGAGAAATATTAAAATAGTGAAAATAGTAATGCTACTTCAAGTAGTGTTACACTTCACTTGGTGTAGCCCCTTGTTGGGTTTGTTTCGAGTCTCCTCATGGTTGGGGAATCTGTGGTGGTGTACCACCAACTTGGACCTCGGCTCTTGGGGTATGTAGAGGCTGGGAACCATCCCTACCTCGAACTCTTCTTGCTAAGTTTGTACTCCTAAGACTATAGTGGCTACTGTACCTCCTGCCAGTCAAACCGCCATAGCGTCGTCAAATCTTCATGGAATCTTATGATTTAACTTGCTGCTGATAGGTGACAGCAACGCGCTCTAGATACAATTTACAGATTACCGTTTGAGGCACAGATCAGATCGGCATAAATATTTGAAGCTGTCTAACGGAATTCTGACTGTGCACAATTTCTCTCATTTTAGGCACATCTGAGCCTATTGTGATTATAACAGCAGCATTCCATACCAACCTGCTCAAACGTTTCAAGTCGATAAATTCTGGTTTCCTTGTGGGGGAAAAATCATCATCGTTGACCGTTCGGGAGTGTAGCATAGTACACACAGCAGTTGGAGGAATTTTATAACCACATTCTGGATCTGGCTGTAGAGGAAAAATTATAGTCTTACCTCGCCCGGCTCAAGACTGAAGTCAAGCGACTAGTGGCAGTGACAAATTATGCGAGCTTTAGTGACGTCGTATCAACCGCTGAACAGTTGACCTGGTCAACGACGGAACACGAGGGGTGCACTCAACAGGGCAACTGCTTAGGACTCCCCACGTTCGCTGATCCGATGGAGATCGACCGATTCGATGGGCGGCCACGTCATTAAAAAGCACAAGCTCTACGTGCGATTTTTTGCGGCGTGCAATATAATGAAAGCAGCACGGGCCGAATAACGCGTGCACAACAATGGAGAAAATTAGGCAGCCAATCACAAGGCAAAAGAAGAGACTCACAAGTAAAAAATGAAGACCCGGAAGCGGCCGCGAGTTCCAGGATAAAATTTTCAGATATACATAATTCGCTGCGAGTAGGAGGAAATGATGAGGGAAATTTTCACCTCACAACTGGACTTTGCTAGAGGAAATCGTCGAGTAAAAATACCCGATGCGAATGAGGCGGTTGTGAAGGTGCCGCTGCCAAAGTCGAGGGGCTTGTTTGATCCCGTACAGGAATTTGACGAGCTGGCAGATCTGGGTAGGGTCGTTGGTTAAAACATGTGGTTGTTCCATTTAGAAATCTGCATCGACTAGCGCATAGAGGAAGGCATTGGCGAAGTTGATTTATTGCAGTGGGACGTTCCGGGCGATGGCGACGGCGAGTAGAATCCGAAGTGAAGTGTGCCGGCTCACAGGAACGAATGTTTCGGTGAAATCATGACCATGCTGTTAATCGAACCCTCTCACTATCTATCAAGCCTTGAAAGGTGTGATGGTCGCATCCGCTTTCGTTTTTCCCCGAATTATCCTTTTGCCAAAGCGGATTGTCTTGCCCACAACTTTCGGGAAAAGGACAAGTGTCCAAGTGTTCCTTTCATGCAGTGCTTTGAGCCCCTTTTCCATTGCCTCCTTCCATTATTCTCTGTGACGATGTGTGGCGGCTTTGGCGGTGCATTAACAATAGCGATGGCACCAAGAATTTGCAGGCCACTTGCAGTGTAACGTAGAAGAGTTGGATCCTCGGGGTTAAATCCCCCAGGTCCCGCTCAGGATCGGGTAAGAAGTCAAGTGTGTTGCGTTCTGAAATGTTGGTGTTGACCTTTTATGGGGTAATGTAACCATGGTCGGCGAAGCGGTAGTAAGCGTCTGCGTTGGCACATTTGCGAGGGTCTTCGTTGTCCATCTTGATTGGGACGGAACTGTACGGCAGGGGTCCAGCTACTTCTAAGGCTCGAGCAATGTTATGCTCATCCAAACCTACTTTCTCTGTTGACGAGGCAAATGCGCGATTGTCGGTGAAGCCACTAGTAGGGTTGCGAGTTGCGGCAATGTTGTCCTGGTAATGCTGCATGGTATGCCGTTCGTAGAAGATGACGTCGCGAGCTACCACTTTTGTTTTGTCGTCAATGTTGAAAATCTTCCATGCATGATGCACTATGTTTTCTTTATGCCGAGGTGTATTCTCCACTGTGCTTGCTGCAAAAATCTTCCATCTCTTGCAATGTGCGAGCGGTACTGTACCATGAAACAAAAAACGTGCTGAAGTTTTGTGTGTGAGAATGTCGTGGCTCTCTGTTGGACTTCCCAAGTTGTTGGGCGGATCTGTTCTGCTTCGCTCTGCAACTGCTCAATCAGGGGAGGAACTGCGACCATCGAAGGACCGGCCTGTGGCGTCGAAGTTTCCTCTTGTGCTTCCTCAAGAGCTGGTGCCATTGTTGTTTCGAAACCTACGACGGCAACAAATGCTCGTGTTTGTTATGCCTCAGGAATTGTGTTGGAATATCAGGATCCGCTAGGACTGAATTCAGGATCAAGATCGAGAGGGTGCATCCAACTCGTGAACAACAAAATGCGGTCACTATCGGCGGTTCCACGATCAAGTTCAAAATCGAGGATTAAGACACGGGATTTTAGTATTGCTTTTCTGATATACAGGCCCCCTTTTTCATGGTATAACCGAAACTCCCTTTCGTTGCTGTCACATTCCAGAGACAATCTGTTGGATGGATAAATGGACATGTCGATTTTGGACATGTATATCCATCATTGAGACCTTGCCGTAAGCTCGATGAAGAGAGCGTGCACCACTGAGGACTGGGACTGATGAGGAAAATCGTCATGAAGGCTTCTTCTGATAAGTTTCCTCCACTCCACACGAGTCGGTCGTGTATTCCTGTGCATCAGCTCATGTATACAATATTATTGATTTTTTTCCTAGATTGCATTTGGATCGTTGTTAGCTGTGCCATGAGTCGGGATTATGTCACACTGTCTCATGCTTGTTACATGCTCTTAAGGTAATACCAAACGAGCGTTGCTGAGTTTCCATATCCTTTGTAGGTCCTAATGCTCTGCTGCTTGGTTGGCGAAAATTTGTGGAGAAGGATGGTGTAAGCCATAGCGACTGATAAGTGTACAACGACCATTTCTTGTATTCCAGGATGACTTTTCCTTTGTCGATATCGTTATTGATGAAGAAGTACCGTAATCACCCGGATAGACGCCCCTAGGGGCGTTTACTAGACTGGTTTGAAAACGTGGGGGGGCGTTTAATTGAATAAAAAATATAAGCCCATGGGCGTTTTAAAGGGATTATATGGAAAATTAAAGTTTGACATCGACATGTAGCTGCTGGTTTGTCGTGTGCAATGGGAGTAATTTTAGGCGAGGATTAAAAGTCCATCGCGTTGGAAGTCCAGTCAACGCGGTGCCAGGCTGGAAACTTCTTTTCTGTTACGAATCGTGCTGGCGCGAGGTGTCAGGGAGCATGAGTTCCGCCTCTGACGGGCACGAAGCGAGTAGCCTCGGTATTACCTGCACCCGTTCGGTCTATTTGTACAGTGTTTCAACTGAATTTCTGAGGGGACTTATAGGGTACATGTTCTGAAAAAATAAGGGGGGCCTATAATCGAATAATGCCTATAAGTCCCAATGCACGAGTTAGAGCCCATGGGACTAATCCTACGGAGGGGCGTCTATCCGGGTGATTACGGTAACAGAAGGCGGTATATTTCAACCTGTTGATGAAGCCGAGCTTTGTGCTGTTCGAGAGCGTCTACTTTTGCATCCATAGAAATCTTCCACTTGGCTGCATGAGGGCCGAAGAGAACATGCTTGATAGTTTTGGGAGAGATTTTCAGAGTTCACAGAACATCACATTGTCATTGGCTCTGGTCGCATCGATTTGCAGTAGTAGCATAGGAATTTCTCAAAATTGCTGGAGTAGCAACGACTCGATTCCGTGTACAAAAATTGCTGTACATGTACATAATTTTTGTATATGTATGGAGCTGCGGCTTCACGCTGGGGCAAAAAATATAAAACCCGTAGGGGCATGGCATACGACTAGGGAAGCATCAACCCTAAACTCACAGAATGGTAGTGAGTTTAGGGTTTACACACCCAGAATGGTGCACGGGCCCATACGGTTTTTATATATTTTGCCCGTAAATCCAGAAAATTCTTGTGTGGTAGAGATTTTGCTAGGTGTACGAAATTTTATACAGAGAACCGAGTCAATTCTACACCAAAATTTTCGAAAAATGTTTGTGCTACTATTGCAAATCGATGCTAATGTAGCCAAAGACAATGCGATTTTCCGTAATACATGAAAATCTCTCTAGTTTTGGGCTTGATCCCTGCCGTTAGTTTCTGAACTGTGATATCAAGGCCAAGGATTTGGAG